TTGGAAATCCTGTTAGCCTCTTCCAATACCTGTAAATGATACACAGACCTTATCATTGCTTCTTTTTCTCTCCTAAGTACTTGTGCTTAGCAGAGAGCAGCCTCTTCTATACCATGGGAAATGGAGATGATTGTATATAAAAATGAAATACCCCCACAGCTGAGGCAGAGACTTCCTGTCCTCCATCGTTCCTCCTAGACATACAGTCCTACTTCGCACCTTGCCTTGCAGTTCCACATTTGTGACTAATTTTCTTTGCCAGTAGAATTTCAGTATTATTGGCTTACTTCTGTATTTGGTCTACAAAAATGTCCCACATTCTCATCATCATTGTCTTTCTCCTCCTGGCTACCTGTTGGGTGACATGAAAACCAGTGTGTTAAAGGTAGCAAACTTGCCATCAGCCTTAATCCTTGAGTAACTACAGAGAACATTGTGATCTGCTTGCCAAAACTGCACTGAGTATGACACAAGAAATAAACTTTGGTATTTGGACCCAAATACCACTACAAATTAGGGTCTATTTGTTACAACAGTATAGTCTAACTAGTGCAATATCTACTTTTCTTTTGTTTATTCCATTTATCTATATTTTTTTGGCAGGGTGCTGGGGATTGAAGCCAGGTCCTTATTTGTGCTAAGGTTAAGTGTACTACCACTGAGCTATGTCCCCAACTCTCTCTTCTCTGTAGAGAAAGTAGAGAAAGTAGCTTTCTCCTACCCTGGCCCAGGGAAGCTTTCTACCTGAACTCTAGACTCCCACCCCATCCCCAATCTCTATTTCATTAATTATTTACTCTCTCCCCTAGATCTTCAACTTATCCGTTCTTGGCTCTTTTCCCTCAGCACATAGACATGATCAGATCTGTTTGAAAAAAATCTTAAGTTACATGATTTGATAGTCTCTTTATCTGGACCTGCCTTTTCTTCTTTCCTTCACTGTGAAGTCTTTCTCACCCCACTTTCTACCTCTACTCACCCCTCACTCCTCTGTGACCTGGCCTCTGTCACCACTCCATTCTGACATTGTTTCATATTGCTCCAGTGACTTGACTGGCTCTAGTCCTGTCTGACTTCTTATCTACCTTGACAGAGACTCTAGAAGGCTGTCTCTCCTTCCATTTCTGCAACATGGTACTTACTCACCATGGCTCCCTCTCTCCCCTTCTAAGTCTCCTTCACAGCTTCTTTTTATCCTTTGTCTTTGGTAATGTAGATTTAGTCTCCATGTCTTCCTTTTCTACTGCCCAGCTATCTCTTTCTAACCAAACTCATCCTGTGATTTAAATGGTCACTATTGATTTTAATGCCATGTATCCTTAGTGCCTCAAATTTATATCGCCAGTTGCTCTTTAGATATTTCTGTCATTATGGCCCATAGGCACCTGAAACTTAGTATGTCCACTGTGGGAAAATTGTCCTGACCCCTGTCCTGACCCCTTTATACCTCCTGTATTCTGTGGTTGGCCTTGTTTAATTATGTGGATAGCTTCTAGGTTCTAGAGCGTAGGTACTGTCCCTCAGCTTTTTCACTCATAGCTGGCACATAAGCAACACTTCCACTTTCAACTTTTTGATGGCTAATTGGAGATAAGAGTCTCTTGGACTTATCCGGGCTGGTTTTGAGCTGTGATCCTCAGATCTCAGTCTCCTGGGTAGGTATGAGCCACTGGTACCTAGATTCTATCTTCTTTATATCCATTTCCAGCAGTGCCAGGACAACATAATTACTCTAGAAACAGTTTTAATAATGAAGTATCTACAAAGGAATTGGGGAAATTCTGCCTGATATAGGAGTAGTATATTCTAGCTAATCATCCCCTTGCTCTGAGGCTGTGAAAGAGAAAGAGAGGTCTGGTCACTAAACTACCAGGACACCCAGAAATCTAAAGCAATTGATTACTTTCCTTATATTCTCTGCTTTCTACTCCTGTACACTTACTAATTCCCCTTTCAATTAAAGATAACCTGATTACAGCAACAACCCTTCTAATTATACCTCTTTCCTTTGTTTCTTGTCTTCTTAACTGTTCTAAATCCAAGCTTCCTTCCATACTTTGGCCCCTTTTTAACTAAATCCTTTCTTTGATAGCAGGTATTTTGAAAAGTGCCAAAGAGGAATTCTGTCCACTTATAGACACAAAGAGAAGCTAGAGTTTGTTGTGAAACCTTTCTTTAAATAACTACAGCAAAGGCTTTATGTTATAGAACCATTTTCTCCCTCTCAATCCTGTATCCTATCTCCCTCTGTATCCTATATCAAAACAGACCAGTATATATATTTCCAGTTCTTTTTTTTTTCTGACCTAGAAAAATTAAAGCCAAGGATTCCAGTCCATTCATGGAAAAGTACCAGAGTAACGCTGGAGATTTTCAATAAAGCTCAGCAAATGTGGCCTCTAACATAGTCTCTAAGATTGGTCCCTGCTAATAGGTAGTACCACCAACATACTTACAATGCCTTCTCTTGGTTAAAAAATAAAAATAAAAAAGATAGAGAACAGGTGCTGATGTCAACTCAGACATTGTGAAACAAAGTCAGAAAATGTGGAACAATGAAATGAGTACAGGAGAGAAGAGGGTCAGATGACAGGGGAGGAGAAAATAGCAAATTTGTCATGGGGAATAATGAGAAGATGGTGGGAAAGTGGCAGAGGGGCAGATGCTGTGGAGGGAACACAAGAATGTTTTACAACAGAAAGAATTGGAAAGCAAAGCTAAAGGATGATCTAGCTACGTGTTATTACCTATAATCCTAAGTCCTCAGGAGGCTAAGATCTGAGGATTGTGGTTTGAAACCAGCCTAGGTAGGAAAGTCCATGCAACTCATATCTAATTAACCACCAAAAAAAAAAAAACAAAGCCAAAAGTGGAGCTGTGACTCAATGATAAAGAGCTAGCCTTCAGCAAAAAAGCTAAGGGCAATGCTCAGGTTCTGAGTTCAAGACCCAGTACTAGCATGAGAGAGAGAGAGAGAGAGAGAGAGAGAGATGCTAAGATGCATAGATAAAAACACTCAAGTAATTTAGTTGTATAAACAGGACTGGTAAAGAACACTGAGAGGCTCTTAAGATCTCAGACTAGAAGGATCAACATGTGGACAGAGAACATAAAAGGAGTTAGCAGCTGTGGAGGGGGGGTGGTGGCAGTGCTGTAATTCTACCTCTTCACAAGGTTAATGAAGAATACAACTCTGCTCTACAAATGGTAAATAAATTAGGGTGAATGGGCTGGGAAGGTGGCTTAGTGGTAGAGCACTTGCCTTGCATGCTCAAGGCCCTGGGTTCGATTCCTTAGCACCACATAAGCAAAAAGAAAAAAGCCGGAAGTGGCGTTGTGGCTCAAGTGGTAGAGCGCTAGCCTTGAGCTGAAGAGCTGAGGGACAGCGCCCAGGCCCAGAGTTCAGGCCCCACAACCGGACCCAAAAAATAAATCAATCAATAAATAAATTAGGGTGAAGTCCATAGCACCTCAGTGGAAAATGAGAAAATTAGGCTAGCCTGTCATATTCCTTTAAAAAAAAAACAACAAACAACAACCAAAAACAAGTCCTGGGGCTTGAACTCAGGACCTGCACAGTGTCCCTGAGCCTCTCTGTGCTCTACTACTTGAGCCACAGGGCCACTTGTAGCTTTTTCTAAGTTGTTTTCCTGGGATAAGAGTCTCACAGACTTTTCTGCCTGGGCTGGCTTCCAACCCTGGTCCTTAGATCTCACGTCCTGAGTAGCTAGGATTACAGGCACCAGTGGCAGGCTCAACATTTTTAATCTGTGAAGAAAACCATTCCGTAGGCAGAAACTACATCAATAAGCCAACATAGAACATTCTGTACAAATCTATTCCACTCACGAAATTTAGACTAAATAAAAACAAAGTAACATGAGTATCAAATACCTTAACTGGTAAAAACATAATTCCTATCGATTTTGACTTACAAGACAATAAACTACCCAACAATGATTTTTTTTTCCAGTCACAATTATGGAGGAAAAAGAAAGTGAGAAACCACACCAACTTCCGGGGTGGGGGTGTCTCTCAAATTTGGACTAGTGTAGCTGGACTCCTGGAAATTAGGGCCCAAGGAACAGGCTGCTCAGGATCTCCACATCTAGAAGGATTTGGATGGATCCAAGATGAGTCTCCTGGTGCTCAGTACTTATGCTGGAAAACCTGAAATGGCTCCCAGTGTTGATAAGGAAAGGCAACTTTTGGGCCATGGCGGTGGAACACATCTGTGATTCTAACACATCTGGAGGCAGAAGGAAGATCAGAAGTTTGACTCCAGCCTAGGCAAAGATAAGGGAAATGTATCTCAAAAACAACAACAAAAAAGGCTGGGGGCGTGGCTCAAGTGGTAGAGTACCTGCATAACCAAGGCAAAGCTCTGAGTTCAACCTCTAGTATCACTAAGTCCCCCTTCTACTCACCCCCCCCAACACACACAATCAAAGGAAGAAAGAAAGAAAAAGGCACCTTTCGGAGAGACCACAGGGTTCCTGCTAGTCTGTCCTCCCCCACGCATTGACTTGAGCGTCCCTCGCGCGCGCGCCCGCCGGGAGAGGACAGAAGCCGACCTTCTATTGCTTTTGTTTCCTGCACGGCCTGGCGGGGACTCCGAGGATCGGCCGGTCGCCTTACCTGCTGGCGCTTCCCGGGCTCGAGCGGCTGCGCGTCCTGCGGAGCGGTGCGTGGCGGGCCCGGGTTCAGCCGTGACCTCACCTAGCGCGCTTCCCCCGCCCCATGGCTGTGACCTGCCTGACTCATCAGGGATGGGTGGCGGGAGGTTGGGGACACCTCCGAGGGCGGAGGGACCGGAGTAGGCGGGCCAGGCCCTTCCCCTCCGGAGCCCGGGAGGAGGCGTTGCCAGGGCGCAGGTGAAACCGACTCCGACCTATCCTGGGAACTTTCGCCGTGGGGACTGGCTGCGAGAGGCCAGCGTCGCACCGGGGCGGCCTGGGACCCGCCCTCTCCCACCCAGGCTGCGCGCGAGGGGGCTCAGCCCCGGGGCCGCCCTCTGGGGACCCTCGGCCCTCCCGGCGCCTGGGCGGCTGATGGAGACGCGGGGTGCCGCGCTGGGTGCAGGTGACACCCGCGGGATCCAGGTTTCTGCTGGAGGCGGAGAGCGCTCCGAGGACCCGACGCAGGCAACTCGGGGGCCAGGGATCAGGCAGCGATGGCCCGAGAGCTGAGCCAGGAGGCACTGCTGGACTTCCTGTGCCAGGCTGGGGGTCGGGTGACCAACGCCACGTTGCTGAGCCACTTCAAGAGCTTTCTCCGAGACCCCCATGCGGACCCCAGCCAACACCAGCACCGCCGCGAGCTCTTCAAGGGCTTCGTGAACTCGGTCGCCGCAGTGCGCCAGGACCCCGACGGCACCAAGTTCGTGGTGCTCAAGAGGAGGTACCGGGACCTTTTGGGGGAGGAGGGACTGCAGAGCCCCCGTGAGCCTCGGGAGGCCGCCGTCCCTGGCGGGGGAGCGGCGTCCCCGCCGGGCGCGCGCCGCGGGGAGCCGCCACCGCCGCAGCCCCGCCGGCGGCGCCGCGAGAGGAAGCGAGAGGAGGAGCCAGCAGGTGCCGCAGCCCCGGCTCCGGACGCGGGTTGCAATGGTCTCCCCGCCAGCAGGGCCCGGGAGGCGGCCCGGGAAGAGCGCAGGCGGAAAGGCAGCCCCAGCCAGAGGTCACCCGCACCCGTGGCTCAGGCGATCGCGGCCCAGGTGGGCAGCAGGTGTGCGGCGGTCGAGACGCGGGGCAGCTGCTGTTGGGAATGCCAGCAGAACGGCCTGGGGCGGTTGCAGGGAGACCCAACGGCCCCAGCACTCCCGGACTCGGCCGTCACCGGGGAGGAGCCGGCGCGGGCTCCACCTGCCCGGGGGCAGCCGCAGCAAGACGCACCCACCGAGCGCGCACCGGTACCTGCAACACCCCGCTCAGAACCTGCCACCATCCAGGCTTCTGCGAGCCGGGCGTCGCCGCCTGCTTTCCCGCTGTGCCCGACTCCCTCCGGAGATCCGCCGGAGCTGATGCCTCCGGGCTCCCTGCACCATTCGACCCATCAGCTGCAGCAGCTTCGCACTCAAGAGTGGGTGGCCAGACATCCGCAAGTACCCGAGGCCCGGGAGCAAGTTCCTACCCGGGCCTGGTCGGTGCTGCCTGACAACTTCCTCCAGCTACCCTCGGGACCGGCCTTCTGGGTCTTGGAGACAACTAACACCGCGCTGTCCAAGTCTCCGCTTTCCTCTCACTCTCTCCATCCTGGGATTCCCGAAGGGTCTTCGGAATCGTGGTCCGGAAACCATCCACCGGAAGTCTTTCGTAGCATACGTTGTCAGTTGTCCCTCCAAGATCTCGATGACTTTGTGGACCAGGAGAGTCATGGCAGTGAGGAGAGCAGCAGTGGGCCCAAAGAGTCCCCTGGGGGTTCAGAGGAGGGGCTACCTGCTGCCCTGGGAACCCCAGATTGGGGAAAGCTCAGGAATCCCGTGGCAGGACTATCTGTGTCTCCAAAGGAAGGCAGTTCCAGCCAGAGCCCTCAGACGCTCAGGATCAGAGAGGATGGCCACACTTCTCAGCAGGCCCCTGTGGGGGCTAAGGGATACCCACAAGAGCCTTTGTCCTGGCCAGCTCCCAGGTTAAGGAGGTCCCTCAGAAGGAGCTATGGGGCAGGCAGAGCCAAATTGTCCTCCTCTGATGAGGAGTACCTCGATGACGGCTTGCTGAAAAGGAATCGGCGCCCACCGAGATCCAGGAAACCCTCTAAGGCAGGACTGATGCCTAGCCCACGGTTGGATGCAGCTTTGACGCACAGATTGTCAGATGTTAAGACTGTTGTGGCGGAGAGAGATCTGTCACACAGTACGTGGGTCTCCAGCAGGGATGGGCATGCAGCCCTGGTACCTCGAAGATCTGAACACAAGTCATCCCTGGTCCCTCTAGATGCCAGGGAGCATGAATGGATTGTGAAACTTGCCAGTGGCTCCTGGGTTCGGGTGTTGACTTTGTTCTGGGAGGATCCCCAGTTGGTTTTGCACAAAGATTTCTTGACCGGGTACACTGCCTTGCACTGGATAGCTAAACATGGCAACCTCAGGGCCCTGCAGAACTTGGTCTCCGGAGCACAGAAGGCAGGGATTGCACTTGATGCAAATGTGAGGTCTGGTTGTGGGTATACCCCACTACACCTAGCAGCTATTCATGGCCACCAGGGGGTCATCAAATTGCTAGTGCAGAGGTTAGCTTCTCGGGTGAACATCCGAGACAGCAGTGGGAAGAAGCCATGGCAGTATCTAACCAGTAATACCTCTGGGGAAATATGGCAGCTCCTCGGAGCTCCTCAGGGCAAGCCGATTTTCCCTGTATACCCCCTGGTCCGAAGCTCTTCCCCCACTAGGAAGGCCAAGAGCAGGGATGTATCTAGAAATGTCACCCGAAAAACTTCCCTGGCTGCACTACTCAAAAATCAGCACAGTAAATGGAAATTGGCCAGCCAGTATGAGAAGTTCCATGCTCCCCAGGAAAGAGAAGAGTACAGTGACTGATGGAGTTTCCTCTCCAACATGCAAGAACCACACCCCATCTTTGAATCACCAGTGAGAGCGTCTGGGAACTAGGTGCTGGGAGTTGTAAAGAGATAGGTCAGGTGAAATAGCCTTCCTGGATTTCAATCAGTCCCATGGACTTCAGCACAACTTTTGGAAGGTCATGTCCTTGGGTGGGTCAAAACTTAGTCAAGGGACAGAACAAAGCACTTCAAACCCCGGAGTGGCTCATCCCTCTCCAGTGACAGTGAAGAGCTGGCCAAAGCCAACCCCTGTGTTTCTCTACATCAGCAATTCCAGGTCTTTGCTAGAGAGGGAACAGATGTCCAATCTAAAGAAGCAATGCAAGAGATTCACAAAGCTCAGACAAGCTCCTCTCTGGCCCAGAGCTCTCTGGCTTCTCTCCATCTGGAGAATAAATCTTGGCTGGGAGTGGAAGGCACCAGGTTTGAAATCAGATGGCGTGCTTTCTTTCTCTTTATATGCTTTTTTTTGGCATTCACTAAAATAGAACCATTATTGGAGAGCAGAATTTGATTTAAAGAGATTCTTCAGCCTTGTGTATGAATCTCCTTCTGAATGTCACCTGCGGTGACTAGTGGGTGACCTGATTAGTGCCTCCAGTAGGTATCTTACGAGCAGAAAAGCAGTTTGGTAAGATCTGGTTGTGACCTCAACTCCACTCCCTAGAGAAATGATTGGCATTCAGGCCCTGCATTTTATTATCAACCCAACAGGAACTTTCCAAGTGCAAAAACAGTGTGGCTCATTTGCATGGTAACTGAAACCATCTTTCAGGGAAACTCCCTGAGGAACAAACAGAATTCTCACTAGTAGTTTTCAATAAGTTTGAATGGCCAACCTTGCTACTCATGAAAATAAAAGATTTCACTCTGGGGAAGCAGTAGTATTAAGAGGAGAATGTCTCTCCATCAGAACTCTTCTCAGCTGCTAAATATAGTTTTATTTGCACTAAACTTCTTGCCAATTAAGATTAAAAATTAGCCTGTAAGTACTGTGTGTTTAACAGGAAGTGTTCCTTTCAATTGCTTGGGAAGCGACGGATCACTCTGAATGCCTGAAACTAGAGTGACCAGTGCACAAACCACAGTAAATCACCAAGATTTCTGAATGTAAATTCTAACAGGACTGGAAAATTAAGTGTTCAAATTGAAATTGCTCATGTGTGTGTGTGTGTGTGTGTGTGTGTGTGTGTGTGTGTGTGTGTGATGTGTGTTCCTTCTGGTTATTTCCTTCCATTAAAAGATCAGAAGATCTTTATTATATTTTATTTGTGCTGATTAGTGTTGCTTCTTTACAAACTATGTCCCAGTGTCAAATATTTTGTAAATTTGTATTTTTTACTTTAAAATTTTGCTGAAATGAATCTCTCACACACATACACACCTCCTTCTCCTCTCCCTCCCTCCTTCTCTCCCCCTCTAGGAATTCAACACAGGGTCTTGGTGGGCAAATGCTCTACTACTGGGCTACACCGCTAGCCCCTATCTCTTTATAAACAACAGGATTGGGAGAGATGGAGAAGAAAGATCAATCAAGATGTTCTGTACTTATAACCTGATTTGTTCAATGGTAACCCCTTTGTACAGCTATTCAAAGATAACAAAAATACAATTTAAAAAACAAGTCTGTAGGCTTTCCCCACTCAAAAAAAATAAAATACAGGATGAACAATTGGCAAATTAAAGAGAGAGAGAGAATTCCAGATGAGAGCATAGTTAGTAGGGGCAAAGATTGCAAGATAAGCACATTTGTAAGCACCTCAGTAAATGTCAACTTCTTTTAAAAAGCTAATGAAGGTATTTTTCTTAAACTGGCTTTCTCACTTATCAACTTACCCAACAAATACTTCACAAGTGCTGTGGGATTTATGAGAATCTAACAATATTTGTTCTTTTTATTAAGTAGTTGTACAAAGGGCTTCCAGTTTCACAAGTCAGATTATGAGTACAATGCTTGTAGATCAATGTCACTCCAATTTTTTGATTGCTTTATACCTTGCCTTGCTTCCAGATTGTCTTTTAAATCTGTATTATATGAGATATAAGTTTGAAATACTAGAGAAGAGGAATAAAGAGGCCACCAGGAATAAGGATACACAGTATAATAGAATAGAAGGAAAAAAAATTCAGTGTCATAGTATAAAATTAAGTGACATGGAAGATTGACAGAGGCAGCAAGAAAGCAAGTAAGAGAAAGAGATAGAGAGCAAAAGAGAGAGAGGGAGGGAGGGAGGGAAGGATAGGAATAGGGAGGAAAGGAAAGTGAGAGCTCCAGAGCAAGCACCCTTAGGCTGGGAAATCTATGTGTGAATGATACTGGCCTTCCCATGAAACCAGATTTGTTAGTTCTACCACATTCTTGCTTTCTGCTTCAGAGTATGCTTTACACAGCCCTGGTGTTGGCCAATTGCTCCCCAGTTGGGACACAGTTCTAGGTCCCAGGTTGGTTCTCATCAGGATCCATTTCTCATTTCTTTTGGGCTTTGTCTACATGTCACACTGGACCAGATCTACATTCTTATAGGGCTGGCATGCTGTGTTGGGTCAGGGCCAGGCAGAAGACACTGTTCAGTGAGCAAAATAGATCTGAACCTGTTGTTCCTGTTGCAAAGGCCAGGCCAGTGGGGCTGCCTGTCTGATCTGGATCTGGAAATCTTAGGGCTACTCCATAACCAATGAGGCCCACATAGAAGCCACCGGAGCCTCCTTAGGTGCTTTGGTCGCACACTCGCAGTGTCTGACGTGGTGCTTAATTTCTTCTACTTAGAAACCATTTTTGGTTCTTTTTTTCTGGTAAACTTACTCATATTCTTCAAAGCACAGATCAAAGGCAAACTATAACTAGGATCCCAAGCTGCATACCACCAAGCCATTCATTCCAGCTACTTCACGTGCATTCCCAGAATTCTGTATGTACCTGACATTTAAATTTTCCACATTGCATTAAAGGAAATTGCATGTTTTAGCTTTTTTAAGATGTTGAACATCTCAAGATTAGAAAATAATAGTTTGAACTCTTCTAAATATAGCATTTTCCTCTATTCTTTTTCTTTTCTCCTCTGTATGCATGCATGCACTCACACATGCTCGTGTGCATGTTGAAACTTGAGCTCTAGGCTTCCCCCTTTAACTTGTCTTCCTCTCAGTCTACCACTTAGGACATACCTCCACTTCTGGCATGTTGCTGATTAACTGGAGATTAAGAGTCTCTCAGATTTATAACTGCTGGACTGACTTAGAACTGTGATCCTCAGGTCTCAACCACCCAAGTAGCTAGGATTACAGGCATGAGCCCAGCTTTTCTTCCTTTCTTTTTTAAGAGACAGGATCTCTCTATGTTGCTATGACTGATTCCAAACTCCTGGGCTCAGGTAAGCCTCCTAATTGAATTAGAACTCAAATAGGCCGTTGTTCCTGGCTAAGTTTTCTAGAGAGTCATCAAGCATCAAATCTGAAACAAAGACCTAATTTCCTGCTTCAGGAGTTCATTGACTGAATAATAACCAGGCAACTTGACAGTGGTGAATTCAAGCATCAAGGCTTGAGAAAGAGAGTGGCATGTATATTAGATGTTTTCTGTGTCCCAAACTATAGGCTTGTGAGGGAAACACAACATAAATCAAAACATCCTGTTCTGATGGAGTTCTGACTGAGGAAGTCAGAATGTGAAGAGGAGAGTTGGAAAGAATCTCTTAGGCGAGGAAGGACCATGAGAAAAGCTATGAGAAGTGTCTGAAGGTACTTAGTCACTTCCTGGGGTAGCAGTAAGGCTGTGTGGAAAGAGATGGAAATGCAAAGGTCATTTACCACCACATTGCATGTGTCAAATATATAGACATTGACTAAAAAGCCAGGGATTATGGAAGTTCCTCCCCCAAAAAATCTTTGATGTTTTCCTACTGTGTGTGTGTGTGTGTGTGTGTGTGTGTGTGTGTGTGTGTGTGTGTGTGTGTGTGTGTGTGTGTGTGTGTGTGTGTACCTACCAGTATTGATGCTTGAACCATGGCCAGGCCACTCTTCCATAGCTTTTTTTGCTCAAGGCTAGCACTTGGACGGCACCTCTAGGCATTTTGTGCTTTGCTTATTTTTCATTTAGTGTCTTGTGCTTTTTACCTGGGCTGGATTCAGGCTGCTTTATGCATCCTATGTCACTACTATTCCAAGCATGGGCCTATGCCCAGCTTCTTTGTTGAGATGAGGATCTCAATAACATTTTTATGCCCAGCTGGTCTTGAACCAAGATCCTCCTAAGTGGGATTTATAGGCATGAGCCACTCATCCGACTGTTTCTGTCTGTCTGTCTGTCTGCCTGCCTCTCTATTTTTCCCTCTCTCTCTCCCTGTAGTTGCATGTAGTATAAGTGTTCTTAGTTTTCTACCTCATTTGGTCCTAAATGATTATATGCCAAATATGTAATATCCAGAAACAGGATAAAGGAGAAGGGAGTATAAAACTATACCAAGGCCATCTAGTCAAGGTCAGATTGCTACATGGACACTAAACATTGCTAACACACACACACACACACACAATATTACCAATGTGTAGAAGCAAATAGGGACAAAGATAGAACAGTAGACTCGTCTTGCTTTGACCTGGAGCTATAAATTCTCCTCATAGAAGCTTTACCTCTGTTCCTAAGGGGCACCTGCCCTAAGTAGTATTTCATAACATCTAATTACCCTGCCTCCTTCTAGGCATTGAAGAAAGATCATAAGACAAGGCCTTGGATTATGTAAACAAGATCCCTAACACCTGTTGTTAAAAACTCAGGCGCACTGAGTTCCCAAAATACTTTCAACATGTAGGGGCCACACATTTCCTTCAGAAGCAGTGTCTCTACTGTGGATTATAGTTCACAAAGTTCTATCTCTCTCCCCTCCTCCTCCTCTTTCTCTCTCTCATGTGCTGGTACTAGAACTTAAGCTCAGGGAGTACTCCTTTAACTTTTTTGCTCAAAGCCATCACTGTACCATTTGAATCTCTTCACCTCTGGCTCTCTGATGGTTAACTGGAAATAACAGTCTTATGGCTTTCCTGACTAAACTGGCTTCAAACTTGGATCTCAGCCTCCTTAGTAGCTAGGATTATAGGCATGAGTCACCAACACCTGGCTCCAATTTTCTCTTCTCTTTATTCTTTTTTCTTGCTCTTTCTCTCCCTCCTTCCTTCTTTCCCTCCCTCCCTGACTCCCTCCTTCCTTTCTTCCTCCCTCCCTCCCTTCCTCCCTCCCTCCCTTCCTTCTTTCCTTCCTTCCTTCCTTCCTTCCTTCCTTCCTTCCTTCCTTCCTTCCTTCCTTCCTTCTTTTCTCTCTCTCCTTTTCTTTCCTTATCTCTCTCTCTCTGTCTCTCTGTCTGTCTGTCTGTCTCTCTCTCTCTCTCTTGTGGCAGTCCTGGGGCTTGATCTCAGGGCCTGAGCATTGTCCCTGAGTTTTGTTTTGTTTTTTTTCCCTCAAGATTAGTACTCTCCTACTTAAGCCACAGCTCCACTTTCAGGGTTTTGTTTTGTTTTTTAGTAATCAATTGCAGGTAAGAATCTCATGGACTTTCCTACCTGGGCTGGTTTGAACTACAATCCTCAGATCACAGCCTCCTGAGTAGTTAGGATTACAGGTGTGACCACTTGCTCCCAATTCTCATCTTTATTTTTATTCCATAATTGCAATTAAGAGGCTGATACTTATTTAGTATTTTATATTGGTATTTTATATTAGTATAAATACTAATACTTATTAGTATTTTAAATTATTTAATGTTTCAATTATGGGTGGCTCTGACATTCTACCTGTATGTCTACTGCATAGGTGATGAAAGCTGAACAGGTTGAGTTTATAGTCTTACCTCAGAGCTTTATTGTATTTATTTCAGCTGTCTCCTAGATTTGTAGAGCAGGTAGGTGGCTGGCTCCATGACTGCTGAAATTCCTCAGGAAAAGCCCAAGTTTGATTGAGGAGGGAATATGGTTAACTCTGTGGACACAGGGCAAAGACAGATCATCCACAGCAGAAGTGTCACCTCAGAAGGACCCTACTGCCTTATATGTGTGCTATCTACAATCCCCGGTCTCTTGGGTCCAGAGATCATCTGCTAACAGCCTTGCCCTGGCCGCCTGGAAGAGTACAGGTGTGTAGAATCACCTGGTTCTCCTGGAGCTCTGGATGCAGGCTGACTCTTGGTCTGATGACTCTTCCTTCTCCAACACTGTG